TTCACTTTTTTTTTTTATCATAAATATCATATCTAATTACAAAAAAAAAATCTAAACCACTTCTTAAATATAAATATTTTACCCTATTAAAATAGTCAAAACTAAAACAATATACTAAAATAGTCAGTTTTCCAAACTAGATCAAGATGTCATGTTTAACTCATAATCATTTCATTTTTTCTCTCATAACCATTAAGTCCAAACTAGATCAAGATGTCATGTTTAACTCATAATCATTTCATTTTTTCTCTCATAACCATTAAGTCAATTACAAAAAAGTAAAAAAGTTAACTAACTTCCCAAACACAACTATTTTAGTCAAATTAAAATAGTCAAAAAATCAAATAACCAATTAAGTGCTCGTTTGGCATGTGAGTTTGGGTTAGGTTAGAGTTCTTTTAGCCACAAAAAGATAAAATAGGCTTTTTAATTCCAAGTTAAAAGTTGTCACATTTAAATCATAATCATTTCATTTTCTCTCTCATAAAAGTAAAAAAAACTAAAAAAACTCATCCAAAATGAGGCTATTTTAGCCCTCAACTAGAATAACTAAAATATCAAAAGCCAAAAAATTAACCTCAATTCCAAACGAATGCTAAAATTGCTAACTTCTCAAAGCCAAAGGATACACGAGAAGTTACATGAGGTCCACCTCATTGTAACCTTTCCCTTTAAACTAATACTCAGCGGCCACGGTTGTTTGATTTCATAGAAATGAAGGAATTAAGAACACAATGAAATTTAGTAAGAGCATCTCCAACGGTGTACCAAATGTTTCACTAAATCTGAGTTAAAAAGGGGTCATTTCTTTAATTTGATACTTCGCGCTCCAACGGTTCAACATCAAATCCGTTTCATCAAATTTGCGCTGGGCAACCGGTTGGTTGACCGGCCGGTCGACCGGCCGGTCAACCGGTAACGGCAAAATTTTTTTTTTTTACCGGTTTGAACCTTTTTTTTTTTGAACTTTTTGAACTTTTGGTGGTCGACCGGGTGGTCAACCGGCCGGTCGACCGGGTGGTCGACCACCTAGGCAAATTTTAGCTTCCTTAAATTCTAGCTTAATTAACCCATGAATTCACCTATTTCATTTGTATTCAAGTCCTAGATGGCTCCATTTCAAGATTAAAAGGTTGAGCTCTTATTTTGTGAACGGTCTGAACTTTCTCCGGGGCGACCGGTTGGTTAACCGGTTGGTCAACCGGATGGTCGACCCGTTCGTCTCATCCCAACGGTTAGGAACAGTGCTTTGGTGAAATGCTTCGCCTGCACTCAGTTTGGTACCATTTTTGCTGAATTCTGGATTTGATATCGATTTGGTGAAACCGTTGGAGCTTAAAAAAGTGGCTTTTTCACCAAATTTTAAATTTGATGCCAGGTTTGGTTCACCGTTGGAGATGGTCTAAGGAGATTATTAGTGTAATATTCTTAGGTCGGAGATATAAGATAAAAAATATTTATTTGTATATTACGGAATTAATAATACTAGAGATAGTATCTATATCTATATCTATACTATATATTAAGTAAAATGGGGTTTTTAACCCTAAGGCCTCTGGGAGCTCCAATCACCTAATCCTAATTTTCTAATTTTTTGATTTAAAAAAAAAACTTAGCATTTATTGGCTTCTCCCAACCCAACCTCAGCATTTATTGACTTTTCCCAACCCACAATCCAAAAATGCTAGAGACCCCAAAAATTCTACCAAAAGTTTTACCAAATGTCTCACATGGGTGTGGGACCCACATGGGACCCACATTGTGTGGGTCCCACACCCATGTGAGACATTTGGTCCCACACCCATGTGAGACATTTGGTAAAACGTTTAGTAGAATATTTGGGGTCTCTAGCATTACTCCCCACAATCTCTTTTGACTTCTCTCATAATTATTGCAACACCCTTTTCAATTTCTTCCATAAACTATGGTTACACAAAAAAAAAAGAAAAAGAAAAGAATTTAGCTATAAATCTCAAAAAGATATAACATCTAAATTTGAATTGTGATTTAATAATATAATTATGTATTTTTTTTTATGTTTATCTATCAAAATTTTAAATCACTTAATGGGACAAATAAATCAATTTTCCAAAATTATTGATTTTTTATTTACAAAATAGATTAAAAAAAACTATTGACTAATTTATTTATTTAATAACAAAAATATTTCATAATCTTTCTCTCTCCTAATCTCTCTCACAAATTTTCAAAAAAAAATATTAAAACTTGCATTCATTTTCTCTTCCCCAAAAAATTAGATAGGAGCTCCAATCTCCTAATCAAAATTTTCTAATTTTTTGATTTAAAAAAAAAAAACCTCAGCACTTCTCCCAACCCAACCTCAGCATTTATTGACTTTTCAAACTTAAGTGATAATTATATTATTAAATCATAATTCAAATTTAGATGATTATAGATAATTATATTATTAAATCATAATTCAAATATATCTTTTTGAGATCTATATCTAAATTCTTATCTCATTTATTTTTGTGTTGTTTCTATTTATTTAATTTTTTTCAATTTATTTAAGATGGAGTTCTGGATTTCTATTTTTTTTTAATTTAATTTATCTATGGTTTCTATTTGTTTTTAATTATTATTATTTAGGTAAGTCATGATGTGAGTTAGATATGTGATAGATATGTGAGTTTTATTGATTTAAAATGTGATGGTGTGAGATAGACTTTAAAGATTTTTAAAATTTAAAATTGGATATTAAGAGACAAAAGAAAGATTTTAACTAAATAAATAAAAATCATATTTATTAATTTTATCTGTTTGTATATTTGATTTTTAATTTTTTTTTTTTTGGGTTTATGTTATGATATAATATATAAGATATAGATAGATAACCACAATTCTCATGAAAAATATTATCTGATTTTTTAAGAGAGAGAAAAGGAAAGCAAATTTTAATTTTCTTTTGGAAATCGATGAGAGAAATTACAATGGAGAGATTATGAAATATTTTTGTTATCTTTCCATTTGAAATCCATAAATTAAGGGATAATTGTTATTTCCAGAATAATTAAATAGGTGTGGGAGAAGTTGAAAAGGGGGGATAATTATTATTTTCAAAATAATTAAATAAGTATGAGAGAAGTTGAAAAGGGTATCTATGGAAGAAGTCAAAAAGACTTGGGAGAAGTTAATAAGTGTTGAGTCTTTTTATTTTTTTAAATCAAAAAATTAAGAAATTAAGATTGAGGTATTGGAGCTCCCAAAAATAAATGAGATAAGAATTTAGATATAGATCTCAAAAAGATATATTTGAATTATGATTTAATAATATAATTATCTATAATTATCTAAATTTAGTCAAAATCTCATGATCAGTATTTATTAACTTTTTTCAATCCGCATATCTTTTCACATGCTTGCAATTATTGATTTGGTCAAAATCCCCTGACCAGCATTTAAAATCCCCTCATACAAATAATTATAGATACAATTCGTGTATAATTACTGCAGTATGCTTTTCAACTTTCCCCATACACTATGGTTAGTGCTAAGAAAAAAAATCTTAAAAAACATAATTTATATATTAAAAAAAATCTAAAACAAATATAAATATCTATAATTATCCTGTGCATAGCACGAGTGATGGGCTAGTTATATATTAAGTAAAAGGGGGTTTTTAACCTCTAAGGCTCGTAGGAACTCCAATATTTCAATGGGCAAATTACATATACACCCCTCCAGGTTTGGTTAAATTACAGATACCCCCCTGAGGTTTCGGAAATTACATCCCGCCCCTTGAGGTTTGTATTTTCATAACAATTTACCCCCTGAGGTTTATATTTCATAACAAATTACCCCCTAATTTCTTATGCAAATATAGCATTCAGGGGGGAATTCGTAATTTCTCAAACCTCAGGGGGGTATCTGTAATTTTATCAAACCTGGAGGGGTGTATATGTAATTTGCCCTATTTCGGTCCTAATTTTCTAATTTTTTGATTTAAAAAAAAAACCTCAGCATTTATTAATTTCTCCCAATCCCCATGTCTTTTGGGAGATTTGGCCAAAATCCCCTCATAATTAAACTTTAATGCATTAAAGACCACCATAAACAAATTTTTTTGAAAATTTCAACACATCTATCTATCTATATTATATTATCTATATCTATAACTATATCTATACTATATATTAAGCAAAAAGGGATTTTTGACCCCTAAGACTTGTGGGAGTTTCAATATCTCAATCTAAATTTTCTAAATTTTTTATTAAAAAAAACTCAGCATTTATTGATTTGGTCAAAATCTCCTGATTAACATTTATTAACTTTTTTCAATCCACATGTCTTTTCACATACTTGCATTTATTGATACAATCCCCTGATCAACATTTAAAATTTCCTCATACAAATAATTATAGATATAATTGGTGTATAGTTACTGCAGTACCATTTTCAACTTCTTCCATACACTATGGTTAGTGATAAAATTGTTAAATTATTTTTACAAAAAATCTTAAAAGCATAATTTATCTATTAAAAAAAATCTAAAACAAATATAAATATCTATAAAACAAATATAAATATCTATAATTATTCCGTGCATATAATATTAATATATAAAATTAATATTTTTTAAGTCATAGTAGTTTTTAATATTATAATTATTTTTTATTTTACAAACTATAATTTTTACTTAAAAATTTTATTAATACCCTCGCCCAATTTCTAATCTCAACTCTCCTATCACATGAATCATTAGTCTAAGAGGATAATTAATTCCACCATCCTGATATCCAACTTAAATAAATCACGGAATCTAATCTTATTTTTTTATTTTTTGTTTTTAAAACAGAACCAATAATCCACCTTCACCTCGTAACATTCGTCAAATTTTGATTCCACTACTCGATGATTTTGACCGTAGCGTGCTTTTGACGCTCCTTGAACTCGCGTGAGTCTCAGATTTTCTCTTTTCCGCAAAGCCCTCGCTGCTTTTTTTTTCACTCTCCACTGCGTAGAAAGACAACTAGTACAAAATGCAAACACACACACACACCCTCACACTTTACATGTTCACTTTCTCAGCAAAAACCCCAAAACTTTCTTTCTAGCCAAACAGCAAGAAGTGATGGGGGAAGGAAGGGGCTCAACTCTAGTTCATCTACTGGTCGTGATCTTATGCTTAGTCGCATTCGGATTCTCCATTGCTGCCGAGCGCCGGAGAAGCATTGTAACTTCTCTCTCTCTCTCTCTCTCTCTCTCTCTATGTATCTATTTGTATGTGTATGTGAATCATGTGATATGTGTCTTCTTACTTGTCTGTTTCAACTGAAATTGCGTACTGGGTTTTGTCAATCGCGCCTTCTTGTTGCCAATTTTATGTTGATTCTGTTTTTCTGAAGCTTAATCTCTTGAGACACTGCCTGTTGTATCAGTTACTTAATTTGTGTTATGTTTTTTTATTTATTTATGTTAGATTGGGGATTTTAAGATCTGGGTGTCAAGTTTATGAGTTTGATATGAGATTGTTTTGGGTCTTAGTTTTTAGTGTGAACGTAAGTGTTATGGTCAAGGAAACTTTTGCTTAAATAGCGTCTTTGTGTAGTTTTTGTCTCCAAGTATACATTTGTTTCTTTGATGTGGAGTGGTACTTACAGGATCTGATATTTAGTGACTTTTGAATCAGTTAGTGAAGCTTGGTGTGATGTGTTGATTGAGTAGCAGAGGAATGCTTTTAGTTTATGTCAACAACAAGTGAATCGAAGAACTCAAAAGATTTTTATTTTTATTCTTTTGTGGTACAAATATCACGTGAATAACGTCAAATTCTGCTTGAATAGCTCAATGTGTATGAGTATGACTGTTTCGATGATTGTCTTTTTGGATTTGGGTGTGAGTGACTGGCTAGTGTTCGTAGCCATTTTCTTGTACACTGTTGAAGAATAAACTTTTATTTATTTATTTTTATTATTTGAGATTAATGTTTTCCCTACATGTTAGTGGGCTATTAATTTTGCAAGTAGTGAATGAGTGTTATGTTAATGTTTTAGTTATTACAAAGCGGAGTGGAGAAAGTGTGTGGGGCCAATTGAAGCTTGAAACGAAAAATGTATTTGGGGGCTACGGAAGCTTAAAACAAAAAATGTGCTAGAGGGTGTGAGTATGCATAGAGATGTATACATGTTGCAGCTCTACAAATCTCTCCTTTCTTCTTTTTCCCCCCACTGGAGAGCTCATTCAATATGAATTTTGGATTCGATCAAAATACTTACTAAATAATGCCACTATATTTCTATCCTTCTGGACTTACATGTAGCACACTAGAGTGTCCTTTATATAGGACTTCATAGGTGACACGAGTCACACACCCTTAGAAGCCTTTACATATTCCCATGCAACCTATTTACTAATATGATGCATTTTCTTAAGAGATATATGTCACCTAACTTTTAGAAAATTGTGGATTATAATTTCCAAGGCCCCTCAATTCACAATTCAAAACATGGCCAAAGTTCTTTTGTAATTGCTGTGGCCAATTTCTGATTTTTCTAAGCTTCAATTTTCTTTAAGCAATTCAACCATTTTTCTGTCAGTTTCTTCAATCATCTCCTTTGTTGCAACTTGCTTTACCTCCCTTTTTTCCCTGAAACTTTGGTGCCTTTTTTTTGCACCTTTGCCCGTTTCCATGATATTTTCAGACTTCTTCCAGGTCTGCTTCTCTTTTACATTGTGGATAGTTTGTCCCCATTCATTTTATTTTCAACTTCCAGTGTCCATGCCCAAATTTCATTTGTCCATTTGCTATTGCTTTTCCTGCCATCTTTAGGCAATTATCAATCCTTTACATTTTAATGTTGTCGTCTTTTGGTGATGACTAATCCCTTCGCGGTATGCTTTGACATACCCACATTTCATTTGTCCTGCTACAGCTGCATGTGCAACTTCTGCTTTTTCTGTTAATCTTTTGGCAAAGATCAATTTGAACAGTTTTGCTTCCTTCACATTTGCAATGTGAATTTGAGGTCATTGAGCTGTTATATTAATTGAATTGGATGTGACATCTCAATTTACTGATAGAGAAGTAATAATCTAGACATATTTATTCTTTTATTAAAAGCAAAGCATGATGGAATGAGGCAGTGTGGATTATCTGTAAGGGGCCTGTTTTTACTCGAACCTGGATGCCAATTATAAAACATCAAATTCTTGTTTAGGATACTACCATTGCTGTTTCTTTGTTTCCATAAGACTCACTGTTTTTACTTGGTATTTAAAAGTAGGCCTTAGTTGTTTAAATTTAGAATCGTGTAAAATTTTAATTGAATTCTTCATGTTTGAAGCTCCTTAAGCTTGTTAAAATAATCTGCTGTGCCTTTTTTTATTTATTTATTTATCTTTAAATTGTAAGCATGGAACTGCTAGTACCAACTTACTGAGCACTATGCAGATAGTTTTTGAAGTTTTGATATTGGCATTGGAATATATTTATATCTTTCACATTGAGGGAATGTGTTTTGTGTATTTTATATTTAACCAGCAGGCATTCTTGGCTCATTCCTTTTTTGTTGTTCGTCCTTTTGGTTCAGCGTTGTTAACTGACCTTGAGGTTTCCTAGTCATTCATATCGGCCCACTATGTTACATGGACTCAGATACGAGTATTGGGTCTGGGTGTTGAGCATAAGAGAAGTAATAATGGAATTGGAAAAGAAAATTGTGAACTTTTTTTAAGTGCTAGAAAACACTAAAAAACTCATTGATATGCATGTGTTGACCATGGTCTGTCATGAGATTTATAGATTTGTGACACCTGAAAATATGTTTTAAAATTGGATTTCAGATTAATTTTAAGTCGGTGTTAGATGGGATGTTTATTTTTTATGATCACTTCATTTAGTAGAATAAGTAGAATTGTAATTATAATAGGCAATTCATAAAATTAACTTAGCCAAATTTTTATTGGTAGAATGTTGTTTAGTAGGTTCTTGGGGCATGTTTGACTGTTGGACAGAATAGGGGGATGATAAGACTATCTTTGGGATAAGTGGTGGGAAAATGGGGTTCTACAGGATAAGGGAGGATTGTGAAGGATAATGTCTATTGTCTTGTGTCATGTTTTGGGAGGGACTAGATTGGATAACATTATTGTATGTTTATAAAACATTTAGAGTTGACATTTGAGACTTTAGGGAGTGCCTGTCTTGAAAGAATGGGATTGAGTTGGCCCACTGCAATGGGATATGGTGTTCTATCCTGGCAGACTATTCCATTGTCAAATTGTGCAACCAAACACAAATAACTAATCCAATCTCTTATTGTTTCTCCCACAACCAAAGGTGCCCTTAGTACTTAATAATTATTACATAATTGAAACAGAAAACAGTAATAGTTAGATTTTCTTACTTTTATTAAGGTAGAGGAGTGCCTTGGAGTACTGTGCGATAAACAAGTACCCGTTAGACTAAAAAGGAAGTTCTATAGAACGGCTATTAGATCAGCGATATCGTATGAGACAGAATGTTGGGTAATTAAGAAATAACACGTGGAGAAGATGAGTGTTGCAAAGATGAGGATGCTAAGGTGGATATCTATCTATATATATTATGTAAGGAAAAAGGAGGTTTCTAATCTACAAGATTTGTGGGAGCTCCAATATCCTAATCCTAATTTTTTAATTTTTTGATTTAACAAAAAAAAAAAAAAAAAACCTTCGTATTTATTGATTTCTCCTAACCCACAAACCTTTTTAATTTCTCTCATAATTATTGCAGCACCCTTTTCAATTTCTCTCTACATACAAAAATAAAGAAGATAAGAATTTAACCATGGATCTCAAAGATATAACAATATCTAAATTTGAATTACGATTTAGTAATATAATTATCTATTTTTTTGATATATATCTGTTAAAATAGATTAAATTAATCAATTTTTTAAAATTATTGATTTTTTAATCTACAAAATAGATTAAAAAACTATTGACTGATTTATTTATTTAATAACAAAAATATTTCATAATCTCTCTCCGATTTTCAAAAAAAAAAAATAAAATTAGAACTTGCATTCCTTCTCTTTCCAAAAAAATCAGATAATATTTTGTTATTAAAGTTGTAGATATCTATCTATATCTTATATATTATATTATAACATAGCAAACAAAAAAAAACTAAAAAAAAAAAATCTTTAAAATTTATCTAAACAAATCTAATTTGAAAATATTTCCCACCATTATACTTTAAATTAATAAAAATCACATCTCTATCATATATCTAACTCACATCATAACTTACCTAAATAATAATAATTAAAAACAAATAGAAATCACAGATAAATTAAATAGAAAAAATAGATATCCACAACTCCATCTTAAATAAATTGGAAAAAAAAAAACCCCCGAATAGAAACCACACAAAATAAAAAATAAAATAAGAATTTAGATATAGATCCAAAAAAAAATATTAAAACTTGCATTCTTTCTCTCTTCCCAAAAAAATCAGATAATATTTTTTATGAAAGTTGTAGATATCTATCTCTATCTTATATATTATATTATAACATAACAAAAAAAAAAAAAAACTAAAAATTAGATATACAAACAGATAAAATTAATAAATTTGATTTTTATTTATTCAGTTAAAATTTTTCTTTGGCATCTTAATATTCAATTTTAAATTTTAAAAATCTTTAAAATTTATCTAAACAAACCTAATTTGAAAATATCTCCCACTATTATACTTTAAATCACTAAACCTTACATATCTATCACATATCTAGCTCACATCATAACTTACTTAAATAATAATAATTAAAAACAAATAGAAACCATAAATAAATTAAATAAAAAAAATAGATACCCACAACTTAATCTTAAATAAATTGAAGAAAAAAAAAACCCGAATAGAAACCACACAAAAATAAAAAAGATAAGAATTTAGATATGGATCTAAAAAAAATATAACAATATCTAGATTTGAATTATGATTTAGTAATATAATTACTTATTTTTTTGAAGCACATATATCAAAATTTTAAATTACTTAATGACATAAATTAATCAATTTTCAAGTCTTATTTAAAGAATAATATGATTAGTCATCCCAACTCCCAAACTTCACAAGCACTGGCAGAGGAGTTAATGGATTGGGTTAGGTGAGATTTAAGTTGTTGGAAGTAACATTCTCACACTCTGTAAATTTATTTATTTTATTTTTTCCCTATGTGATTCTTTTTT